GTGGTGGTTGGAGGGGGTGGGGGGTAGGTTGGGGTGGAGAGGAAGAATGGGGGTGAGGGGAGGGAGAGGGAGAAGGGACTTACATGTGAAACAAGCTTGATCCCTAACTTGAACTAATTAAAAAAAAAAAAAAAAGATTCTCCATGCTTCATAAAACATCCAGTTTTGTTTCTCAAAGAGATAATATTTATTCTTCATGTATGGAAAGCATTTGCAATAGAAGTCAACAGGCAAATGTTGGTGGACTCCTTTTTGCTTCATGAAGAGTTTTCAGTCACTAATTCACCAATAAATACTGATAGCCATAATTAGGGTATCATCTGGTTCAATATTGATCAGGGTTGCATGTACAGAGAAGAGCTCACCAGCAGTCATGAAAGCTGTTCATTATTCTTGTCCCCAGTAGAAATTAGTGGCCTTTCTAGCAACACTGTGGAGGGTTTATATAATAATCTGTAAATACAGTATATGATTTCTCTAGTATCCAAACATACTGATTAGGAGCTGTATCTGAGTTTTGTTCTTGGGTGGTGGGATTAAAGGCATGAGCCACCCTTACCTTGTTTACTGTAATTCAGCAACTAATTTATAGAAGTCCCACAATTGATGCTGAGATTAAAGGATTGGGCTACTGCCACCCTGCCCAAATATTTTTCTTAATTACAAATCACTCCATCTCTTAGAAATTTAGAAAACAAGTTGAATTTACCTTTTGAATTTACTTAAAACATTTTAAATCTCTTAACTGTGTTTTTACTACCAAACAACTAAAGTATTCTTTTTATTTAAAAAGAAAACTCAAAAGCTGCTGCGCAAGATGACACGGGCATGTTGCAATCTACAGTCTAACATTCTAACATGGAATTAAGACACATGCTTTAAGAGAACACATTTTTCAATTCATTTCATGCCAGTAAGGCAGGTGTGCCTAAGGTAAATTATCATTCAAAAATATTTTTATTTTTTTTGTTTTTCTTTTTAAATTTTTATTTAAATTAAAAACAATCTCATATTACATACCAATCCAAGTTCCCTCTCCCTCCCATCCTCCCATGCCCCCCACCAACCCCTATCCCACCCCCACTCTCCCCAGGAAGGGTGAGGCTTCCCATAGGGTATCATCAAAGTATGTCACATCATTTGGGGCAGGACATAGACCCTCCCCTGTGTGTCTAGTCTGAGACAGTATCCCTCTATGTGGAATGGTCTCCCAAAGTCCATTTGTGCACTAGTGATAAATACTGTTTCTGCTGCAAGAGGCCCCATAGATTATCCAGGCCTCCCAACTGACACCCACGTTCAGGGGGCCTGGTTTGGTCCTATGCTGGTTTGGCTGGGGTCTGTGAGCTCCCACTTGTTCAGATCAGTTGTTTCTGTGGGTTTTTCTAGCATGGTCTTGACCCCTGTGTGGTGGGGCACACTGGTAAGATTTGCTGAAAGAGGTACAGGCAGGAGGATCAAAGTTCCAGGCCAGCCTGGGCTATAGATTTTTATTTTTTTCACCTGATCAAATGAAAGGCTATTGTTAGTCTTTATAAGATCGTCCGGATTGAATGGCCAAACTGTCTGATGAACCATTGCTTCTCCTTATTCAGAAGGACTTTCCTGCTCAAATCTAATCTTTATGAATCTCAGTGGTATCCATAGCTTTTCGTCTCCTGTAAAACAAAAACAAGACCTCTTCCCTAATGTAACACACACATATCCCGGTTTCCGTTCTTAGGTCAGCACATCTTTAAAATATACAAGATGATTTAATTCAGCAGTTTTGTCTATTATCCAATGTCTCTGCACAGCTGTTCTTCTGTTCTCATAAGCATTTAAAAATTTTAAAGTTCAAGCAATCTCGGGTCCCTGGGCCCCGGCTGGCCTGAGGACTACAACACCTGCCCAGTGCAGATTTCGTGCCCAAGGGGCCTAGCTGGGATCTTTATAGCAGGCGGAAGAAATCCAGCTCAGATCCCTGGGCCCAGGCTAGTGGGAAGACAGCCAGGGCTTAGGCACTGGGCATGTGAACCCCATCATTTTAAGTAAACAATTGGCAGAGTATTGGGAGAGTTAGAGAAGTGGAATGGTTCATGGACCATGGAAAGACACACAAAGGAAGAAAGGTACATTAGGATTAGAGGATTAGGCAGATGCTAGCGCTTACTACCTGAGTCCATGGTGGTGGTGGTGAGGAGTAAACTGAGGAGGGGGGTCTGCTTGCCATGGTGATGTCAGGATCAGGCTGCAACCAAGGGCCATATGTAGTCTGGTCCTATAGTAGCCAGGGTCTGTGTTGATATCTGTGGCTCCTGCTGGCATTGGGTGTCATGCTGACTCCAGGGGACTGGGCTGCCTCCTGGGGCCAAGATGGGGTTCATGAGCCATGCTGCAGCTGAGGGCCATGTCAGGGTCCATGTCCCAGCTGCAGCCAGGGTCTGCGCTGATGTCTGTTTCTCCTGCTGCCATCTAAGGCAGTGCAGACAAAGATAAAGGACCAAGTTAGTGACTCCAGGCCATACCACAGCAGGGAGAAATGGTGAAATCTAGACCCAGCTGCTGCCAAAGACCATGTTGGGGTCCATGGTCCTACTACGGCTGGGGGTCACATAGAGGCCCAGGGTTAGGGCCGAAACCTGAGACCTTGGTGGTGTTCAGTGACCACATGGCTGCCACCTGAGTGGCCATTCACTCCACCCAGAACCTAAGCTGCAGCCAAGGGCCATGTCTGGGCCCATGGTCCAGACACAGCTGGGGTCTGTGTTGACGTCTGTGGCCAGTGGCACCTCAGGAGGTCTTAGGAATCATGCAGATAAAATCAGAGGGCTACACCGAGCCAGTCCCACCCTTCACTGCCCTGAGAAACTTGGCCTTACCTCTCCCAGCCCACGACAGCAAGAGGCTCTGGCCAAGTACTTGGGAGAGAAGGTTCCCCACCACTCACCATAGGTGAAGATGAATGTACCCCGAGGGCATGTATGTAGGGGTGAAGACTCTGCCACCACACCTGAGGCAGGTGGCCCTGGTAGCTCAATCTGACATGGCTGGCTAACACCCAGGCCCATAACTGGGCCTTGGGTTGACACACATTAGCATCTACACCACCTAGGTCCTGCTGGGACTGGTGAAGGAATTGGTCCTGCAAAACCATACCTGAAAGATCTCCAAAACACAGGATACTCCAGAAGAGCTTGGGTGAAGATCCATTGAGGATGGTGTACCAAAAACCAGAGGCCTTGAACCAGACCAATGACTCATTGCAATGGACAGTTGCCAGTCAAGCTGATGGGACAAAGGGGTATACTATATGACCCACAGAAGCATCCAGTGCCATCAAGACAGATGAAGAGATGATGGAGAGGCAGGAGAAAAGGAGACGCGGAGATTTTGCTGTTTCTAGTGTGGGGTTTTTTTTGTTTTGTTTTGGTTTAATCGACTTCTTTCTTTTCTTTTTTGTTTTGTTCTTGCTTTTTTGTCTACTTGCTTGCTTTGTTTTGTTTACTTTCATGGGGGAATGCAAGAGATAAGGGGGAACCTGGGGGTACCAGGAGGAGAACAGAATTGGGATGCATGACCTTTGGGAAAGATTCAATAAAGAAGTTTAAAATAAAATAAACTAAAAATTTTGTAAGTGGAGGGTTTTGTGGTTGGGTTGGTTTCCCAGGCCCTCCAATGGAAGCCTTGCTTGGTTACATAGGATGGCCAGTTCAGACTCCATATCTCCCATTACTAGGAGTCTTAGCTAGGGTCATCCTCATAGATTCCAGGAGTTCCCATTGCTCTACATTTCTACCCTACCCTGAGATGCACCTGGATACCAGTCATCTCCCTCACCCACACCTGATGCCTCCTGTTCCCATCTCCATGTATCTCCAATCTATCCTTAAAAATCTATTCTATTTCCCCTTCCCAGGCAGATCTGTGTGTCTCCCCTTGGGTACTCCTTGTTACTTAGCTTCTCTGGGTCTATGGACTGTGGCATGATTATCCTTTTCTTTACAGCTAATATCCACTTGTGAGTACATACCATGTTTGTCTTTCTGGGCCTGAGTTACCTCACTCAGTGTGACTTTTTGCTACTTCCATCAATGTTTGTCAGTAAATTTCATGTTATTGTTTTTTGTTTTGTTTTTTTGTTTTTTCGAGACAGGGTTTCTTCTCTGTGTAGCTTTGGAGCCTATCCTGGCACTCGCTCTGGAAACCAGGCTGGCCTCGAACTCAGAGATGCACCTGCCTCTGCCTCCCGAGCACTGGGATTAAAGGCTTGCGTCACCAACACCCGGTTTCATGTCATTGTTTTTAACAGCTGAGTAATACTTTATTGTGTAAAAGCACGTTTTCTTTATCCTTTCTTTGGTTGAGGGACAGATAGGTTGTTTCCAGTTTCTGACTATGATGAATAAGTCCCCATTTATATCTTTGGTCAGGGTAGTCTAAGTAACTCCTAAAATAAAATAGGCTATTGCTGTTGCCTATGGCTCCCTCCCAAAGACTAAAAATAAAAAGCCCTATTCCTGAAGACACCATACACTTAGGACACAGGTCTTGGATGATACAATCTGAATCTAAGCTGAAAGTCTCCTTCCTGAGGACTAGCTTCCACAGGTTCAGAAAATACCATCAAAGCTGCTAAGTGAGGGAAGAAATTAATAGTCCTCCTCAGCTACAATGCCAATGGACCATAGCAATGACCACCATGGCCAGATATCTCTAAAAGTGCAATAAATAGTGATAACCAATGGCTGTCTAGTTGGACTTAGGCCCACTCAAAAGGATGGAAATTATGCCTGGTGCTAGAAGCCTAGTCAACTTTCAAAAACCATTGAGCTCATGGACTGTACAAAACAAATTACTATTGGCACCTTGATAGATCAATATAATTAGTTACTACATTCTGATTCTTATTCTTACACCCGTGGATAAGTATAGCTGACATTCCCTCATCAAAGAAACTTATAGAAAATATAGAAAACTATCACACAAAGTCACCACTGGAAAAAATGAAAAGATCAATTGACCATGGGAATCCTAATTTACCATGTTGTATGTATAGCTGTATTGCCTGGGTTGAACAGGAGCAGGAAGGCTGACAAGATACAGGCTGTCATCTATACCTGAAGTTTTAAAATAAGGATCTGGATCTGGTCTGAAAAGTAATTGGATGCTATTACAAATTTTGTAGGAATAAAATGTGATTTTTTAAAAAAAAATTCAGCAAGTATTGAATACTACAGATTCCCGGGTTTTCAGAGTGTTGGAAATACAGTATTAGAAATGTCAAAGAAATGCCTTCTTTCTAAGAAGCATATACATGATGAAGATGAGAAAAGTGGAAGTGAAGAAAGGGAAGAGTGACCAAATCCAGCTGCAGTAACAAATATATTTTAGTGATATATTGGAATAAGGAAGAAAATAAACAACAGAGTAACAAAGGAAAAGGGTAGCTAGTAAGGGAAGAAAAGACAGAATATTGTCAATATTTCTTTGAAAATGCATATGTAGGGCTAGAAAGATGGCTAAGTTTTTAAGAGCATGTACTGCTCCTCCAGAGGACCCAGGTTTCAGCCCCAATGCCCACACTGGGAATCTCACAACTGCCAGTGACTCCAGCCCCAGGGAAACTAACACCCTGACCTTTGTAGGCAATGGTACTCACATATACATACCCACACATAGACACATAATTAAAATAAAAATTTTTTTAAAACACTATATGATAACACCAAATTCTTATTATAGGACAAGAAGATGCAATCAAGTCATAGTAAAATTTAACAAAAACTTACTACACCTTCTATTTTCCTCTCCAAATAAGAATTGTTCCTGTAATGGAGGCTAGAGAAATGGCTCAGTAATAAAGAGCACTTGTTCTTTCAGAAGACCTGGGTTAGATACCCAGCACATACATGATGGCTAACAACAGTCTGTAACTCCAGTTCTAGGGAATCTGGTATCCTGGCCTCTGTGTGTACCAGGCATTCACATGGTACATATACATACATATAGGCAAATGTAACATGCATTATATAAACCCAGAGACATATTTTGGGGTTCAAGATGAAGATCAGAAAAGCAAAGTAGCCAATCCACCAGAGAGCTCTTGCCTCTACCAAGGCTGGGGCAATCCTATCCTCAATGTGGCTAGAGACTAATTGCCTAAGACTGAATACCCAGTCTGAGCCCCTGCTTCTGTCTTTTCTATCTTTCTAGTGCTGGAATTAAAGGTGTGAGCTCTGTTTCTCTTTTTGACTTATTCACTCTCATGTAGCCCTGGATGGCCTTACACTCACAAAGATCCATCTGCCTCTGTCTCCTGAGTCATGGGATTTAAAAGTGGGGCCACCACTGAGTGACTCTATTGCTAACTAGTATGGCTGCTACAATTAAAGGTATGCACCACCACTACCTGGCCTCAATGGTTGTGGCTAGCTTTTCATTCTGATCTCCAGGCAAGCTTTATTAGATCATAAACAAAATATCACCACAGGCAAACTACCCATATACACAAAATAACAAATTTTGTTTTAAAAAGTAACTTAGGGAATTAACTTAGCATTCTTTATTATGCTTTTTAAATAGAAACCCATATAGTGTGTTTGTTTGCTCGTTTGTTTGTTTTTTGGATTTGGGGCACAGAATCCTCTAGAAACTCATACTAAGTCAAAGTAAAACTCACTGAGAGAACAAAGCAGGAAAAAAATGTTCTAAATAGAAGAAGATGAAGAGAATACACAGATCCAGGAACCCATTTTGGCATTATACACATCATTTTAATATAAACATAGTGGTGAAGAGACCTATAAAAAGTTGGATAAGAACAAATCAGTAAAATGATTTCTGAGCAGACTTTCTGAAGGCCGTTTGTTTGAACCTCATTATTTCACAGGACACTCATTGGTAGACACGTTTGAGTGGTTTATACAGTTTGGGGTTAATCTCTCAAGACACTGGTGTTAGTGCTGGGAAATCCCTTTGGGACTTGATGGAAGACATTTTAACTTTGCAGTATAATGGGCATTATTATTAACACTGACTTGTAGGTCACCTCTGGGGTATTCATTCTTGCCAATGCAACTTTAGAGTGTGATATGTGTGTATATATATTCACAAGTTCTGACACTTGTACCATAAAGCAAAGATTGTACTGAGGGAAAAAAATCTCTGTGATATCGGGTAAGAGAGGTATTCTAACTAATTTTTACTTTTGCTATCAAATACTTTACTTACTATTTCTATTCTTCCTAAATTTCAACTCCTTTCTGATCTTTTGAATGTTTTGTGAAAATAGACTGACGTGTAATACAATAACTAATATAACCTTCTGTAAAGATAGGATTTCAGAATACACACATAAGATCACAAAATATTCTGCTAAGTAATGCAAACGCCTACATTGAAAGTTATTTCTATTTTAACTTACGTTATAATTGAAATTAGGTACTAGAACAAAGAAATTCCCACCATCATCTTTGGGTGTTCTGGTTATAGAAATACAAACACATTAAGGCCACTGAATTGAGATGATTAGATTTGGTGCTGTATCCCAACATACCACTGATAATGGGAAATGGACTAGAATTCCAAAACTTGTTTAAAGCTTAAAAGGTTTTCTATCTAAACATCAAAAACAAGTTTAGGAGGCAAGCTTCTTTATTAGCTTGTATCTACTGTAGTATAATTTAAAGAATCATAATATTCTAAAGACGCATTAGCATAGATGAACATTTTTGTTTCATAAGGAAAGATTTTGAACATTGTCCTTTTAGACCCTTCATTTTATTAAAATATATATCTCTATTTCTTTAAAAATTTTCCATACTGTACATTTTGGTCATATTCTTTCCCCTTTCCCAACTCTTTCCGGTTCCTTTATTCTAAAAGTCAGATGCGGTAGATGACTTTCTTTTTTTATCCAAAACAGAGTTTCTGTGTGTCACATTGGTTATTCTAGAACAAGCTCTATAGACCAGGCTGGCCTTAAACTCATAGAGATCCACCTGCCTCTGTCTCCTGAGTGTTGGGATTAATGGCATGCACCACCACCACCTGCTCAAGATTCTTCTTAAAGGTAATGATTCTATGAGTAAAGGAAAGAATTCACTGGATTCATTACTAGGATACATAAAATTAGATCACCTGGTCAAGATCATTGAATAGTGCATAGGTTGGAATTAAATCCTTTATGTCATTGCACATTTTTATCATCTTTCACAGAAGTCTGTAACAATAAGCCTCAAAATGCTTATAGTATAATTTTTAAAAAAAAATCATTGAGGCACCAGTGAGAGAATAAAACAACATGGATTGTGCAATTATGCAGAAGAAATTGTGTATTTTGTTGCTGAAGGATGATATATTCCACTATTCAGAATATGACAATGAGTTAAAATTTGGTTAGATAGTTTTGCATGTAAAATGACTCTTAGAGGGAGGATTTACATATTTGGAAAATAGATATGAATAATACCATGGAGAAAATAGATATATACTAGTATATTAAAATGTCAGAAAGTCTTTGTGACACAG